ACACTGGACCCCTCATGAACCCCCATGATGTTTCGAAAGATAATTTACTGTCATTTCAACCCCTAAATGTCATGGGAATATATATTTTATTAAGTATATTGTTTGTTTTAATATTTTATTGTTCTCCATGCATTTTTAAAAATAAAAACCAAATCAACAGTTTAGTGAAATTTTTTGAGGACCCCCAAGATGCGTCTTGAGGACCCAGTTTGAGGATTTCCAAATTTAGTAAAAAAGCTAATTTGCTAAACAAAAATGTAGTTTTGCTGTTAGCAGTTAGCTGATTTGTGCCAACCACTGCCTGTTTTCCAGTAATTTAATATAACTGAAACTGATAAACATGCAYTTAGAGAGAAAAGCACAACAAAAACATTAAATCAATGCACCAAAGATAAAAACAGAGTTTTAGCTTTGACTCGATGTTTATGTGAAATATTTGGGAAGTAAAAGTAGACGGGTTTCTGAGCTTGAGATGCTTCAAAATGTTTGTCGCTCTTCCTGAAACATTCAACCTGCAGTTCACAGAAATATGCCAGAAGCACTAATTGTTTTTGCATTCAGACAGCATGAAATATGGCAAACTGTTGAAACACAACGACGGCCTTTAACTGGTGACAGTTGGTTCTTAGAAACTCTGCCTCGTTAGTCTGCAGCTCTCAAAGCAAAAACGCTTCAAATTCTGTTTTTTTATATTATGCAAGTTTTCAAAACTTTGCCCTGAAATTTCCTCGACAGCGGAATGGAAATCCTCCTGGTAATGAGGTCTCCCCTCCGTTCGACGCCCCAAGGCTCAACAGAACCAGCAAGCCGGGCTCAGATATGTAAACCGAACCCAACCGGCTCCGACACTTTCAGACTGAAACAAGAAGCGAAGACAGGAAGTCTGAATGGAGGAAACCCAGAGGAGTTAGCYGGGGTTTATTTGATCTGACCCTTCAAATAACCGGAGGGTGACGTGCTGAGTCCAGTTTTCAGAACCGTGTTGGAGGTTCTGATGTTTGAGATGGAAATGGATCAAGTGTTCCTGCAGAGAAGCAGTCTCTCATGTCTTTGAGAATGTCTGAAAATCTGGGGATGTGTGGACAGTAAGAGCCCTGGAGCACTTTCTCATCACTCCAAGCTCTGTTCAGACCCATCATCATCATCATCACCATCTTCGTGTCTCACCAGTTAAAAGCCTTCATCATTTAAAGCTATTTTCCACCGCTAACCTCTGATATCCTGATTGAAGGCAGCAGAGGCTCGAAGCTCAGAGAAGCTGGAGTTAGAAACCTGCAGAGGATGTTCTGAAGGCCTCAAGTGAAGCCTTTAAATCAAATGTGGTTTGCTTATTTAATTCTTTCAATTTCAATCAATTTTCCTAACCATAACATAGTTGTTTTCAAACAGATTTAAAGGTGTAAACATAAAAAAACAAGCTAATGTAATCTGATTTATCTGAATACATTTTGTGCAGTGGTGGGCACAGATAACCCCTAACTGTCATGGTTTCACTGGTGGCAAAAAAAACGATGTGGTTTCTGCGTTTAAACTTTCCCAGATGATACCACRRGCTTTTATTTTGAAAACTAGGGTGTCAGACCACTTCCTCTGGATCTTGCTTTTAGTTTGGCAGCCTTACAAAAAAAAAATGTTGAAAGTCTTAATTAATTTCAGGGGTTGTTAAGGGGCTAACCAAAACAATGCGCTAACTAAAAATATAGCATCGCTAATGCTAAGCATGTCAAAATATTTGCAGAAGCTAAAAAGCTAAATAAGTAAAAATGAGCCAACAGCTAATCGCTAACCACTAAAACAATATTATTATTTGAACTGAAAATACAAAACCACAAACAACAACAACAAGTTGATTTCTGCACCATTTCTTGTGATGTAAAATGTTAAAATGTTGATATTCTTTGGTGAAATTTTCAGTTTTGGAAAGAAACAAAAACTACAAAAACATAAAATCTATGATTCCAAAGCCAAAATTCACAAAAATTAAGTAACACTAAATATTAAAATGAAAGTTAAAATCTGATCGTTGGAGGGATGTCGACGCCCACTTCAGATGTTTTTTTGTTATTATTTTACTCTGTGATGTGCTGAGCTCATTTTCCAGCTAAATGCAGGAAAATCCAGTGTTTTCAGTTGTTTAAATTTGGGTTCAGAGACTTTCTGCTGTGTTTGCTCCTTCTGTCCACACATGAGCTGAGTTTTACATGAGAAAAACAAATATTTAAAAAAGATAGAGACATGGAGAAAAGAATAATTATTCAATAAAAACACTTGGAGTGTTGTAGATGATTCAAAATAGTTTTAGTTATTTTAAATTTACCTTTGCTGGCATAAAGTGAATAAATTATTTGCTTCTCTTCAAATCATGAAAGAATAAATAATGTTAATCCCATAAGTTCCTAAAGAAGGATGAATATAGAGTTAAAATAATAAATGAATTTAATATTTGGTAAATGAAGCTGAATGTTCAGTAATCTCAGTGACATCTTCAGTTACATACGTCTCAGTTGGGTTTTATAATTTAAGAATAAACAACTGATTAAAGAAATGATTTTATAGTGAAAGAAACTYGTTTTTATGAAAACAATAAAGCCTTTTCTCCTCTGCTTCCATGTTTGGTGAAAAACTCATCTAAGATCCGGGTTTACGTCAGAGATCCCAGGTCCAGTTTGATCCAGACCGCAGCCTCTTCCCGTTTCAAATGACCTGGCCACTGAGGAAGTTCTGATCCGGCCCCTCCGGACCCAGATAAGAGATGTGGAAGTCCGATTGGGATGACTCCACCCGGCCAGAGCAGGAAGTGTGGCCCCTCGTAGGGGTATAATCTGTGGACCGTTTGGGTCCTGAACACCAGAACTCAGCTGGTTTTTAATAATGTTTGTACACGTCTGTTTGGTTGAACCACAAACTAATCRCTGGTTGAACAACTAGATCCAATGAACTTTTGGAGTCGGTGTAATGTTAACACAATGAGTTCACATAAACTATAATTAACCTTCAGAGATTCAAGTTACTTTAAGGCAGAAAAACTCAGATGTAATTAGCCATTAGCTTACCAATAAGTGACTGTATTCTTCTGCAGGAACCAAAATATAAATCTGAATCCCTGGAAAAGCTGAGGGTTCAGCTGAGCCGAGCTCAGATTAGTTAACATATTGTAAAAATAATAGTTTGGTCAGTGGTGGRCAGCACTAATCTAAATATTAGTTCCACTAGCCGTAAAGCACTTACACATATTTAGGTCCCCTAATTCTAAAGCACTAACACACTGAAAGCTTTAGCAAAAGCTAATTCCAAAGCACTAAAATACAGTCAACCCATGAACCTTCTTCAACAGATAACATGAGTCACATGTTGATCTCTTAACACTTATCATTTTGACATTCCACAGCTGGATTTGGGTTCATATATTGTCACCTAGTAGATAAGTGACAAACATTTGAACAAAATGTGACAGTTTTCATTCTCAGCTGTGAACATTAACGTTGATCAATAACATTTATAGACCTCAGTTAGTGCCTCTAAATTTAGTCTATAAATTTAGCAAGTGCTAATCCACTAATAAATTCTAAAATTAGCAAAAGCCCTAAAGCACTAATCAAGAAATTCATTCCCCTATTAGTGCTTTAGGGGAACTGTGCCCACCACTGCATTTGGTTCATATCTGATTTGTTCCATTTGTTGTAAGTTTAACAACGTGTGGAAATGTAAATTAAATATCTCAAAAATGCCATAACTTTTTTAGTTTTTGGAAACGTGAACGAATCAAATGACTCAAATGAACCGAATCACATTAGTGATGAACTCGAGTCCATAAAGCTAATTGACTGTAGTCAACATAAAACAGTTAATTTGACAGAAATGTGATGATGTATCTAAACAGTTTGAGTTTTTTTTAAGGTTTAACTAAATTTCTGTCATTTCACAACATGAAAAAATGTTTAAAACCCTGAYATGAAAGGTCGAGGGTTTTGTTTGTGAATAAATGTTTTAATTGTCTTTTTGTGGGCGATACATTTGGTTGGAAGGACATTTTCCAGAAGCCCACACAGATTCAGAATGAGTCCTACACTCTGAGCCGAAGAAAAGCTTTTTATTCCAGCAGAGACCTTTTCAGGCCCACAACAAATAAAAAACTTCCATCCATCCACAAATCAAACAACTTTTTCCATTTCAAATTAAWCTAATGAAGCAAAGAAATCATGTGTTTGAACCAACACAGATCATACTCACTTTTGATCAACATGATTTGAGCTTCAACACGTCTTCATGTCAGAATAAGATCAACTCCAGAGGTTTGTAAATAATTAAATCCAGTAAGAAAAGGTAAAAGCCATAAATCCAGGGCTGTAACAAAGCAGAGGTCCAGTTCTGCTGATGTTGGGCGTCATGGTGAGATCATTGTTGAAGATTCTTACCAGCACCACCACTCCCCTTCCTCTGGACCGGACCATCTGAGGACCAGAGAGAGGGAGAGGAAATACTAAATATAATGTTGGACATGAGCAGCCATGAGGGAAGACCCCAGGAGATGTGGGTGGGTTAGGGTTTGGAGATAGGGTTAGGTTTAGGGTTAGGTTCAGGGTTAGGGTTTATGCTTGAGGCTAGCCTTTAGCTAAATTTAGTTTTTAGTGAGCTTTTTGTTGCTAAAGAACTCTGCTACATTTAGCTTTAAGTAACCCTTTTAAGACTTTTTACTTTAACCTAGCATTTAGCTTCTTAACTAAAAGACAAGTTGCAGTGTTCTGGACCGTCTTCAGTCACGACTAATTAACATAAAAATAAAAATAAATAATTTTTACATTTATTTATGTTTCCTGAACCTTCGGCTTTAATTACAGCAAGAGAATAAAGGGAATCTGGCAGATGTGCTGACCTGATTGTGAATAAAGTTTGTGRTTTAGTTTTTGGCCGGTGAATAAAAAAGTTGTGCCAGGGGTCAGCAGAGCGGCCGGCCCGACGCCTCAGGGACTTTATTACCAGACTTCCAGCTTCACCTTTGTTACAAATTCTGTTAAACATTGAGTGTGACGGTCGGAACCACCGGATCGGGGACAGTTCAACAGTTAAACATCTAAAATACTGTTTTACTTCTTCAGATTTAAATTTAAAATAAAACCTGAATAATAAATCAAAACCTGCAGCTCAAAGAGGAACAGGCTTTGAGTTTAGTCCTTCTCTTTTACAAATTTGCAATAAAAAATACAAAAATAATTTAAAAATTCCTTGTGTTGTCTTTTTTTCATCAGCCTCAATGGAAAGATAAAAATCTATAAATATAGATAAAAATCAGCGTATCAACAAACCGAGGTGATAAAAGATTCAGGAGCTGAGGGGACGTGTGGAGCTGGCAGAAGGAGTCGAGGAATGGTGCCATCACTTCTGCTGCACCGGCCGTCGGACTCTGAAGGCGAAATGTTGGACAGAGGCAGCGGTTCTGAAACAGATCTTTGTGGTAAATTAAAAATGTACTCAACAAAAGGCAAATAAAGTCGACCRTAAAGAGATCTCTGCAAACAGCTGAGGGATAAAAGGTAAAGTCCAATAAACTGGTTTTAAATTCAGAAATAAAATAAAGTTAATCTGATTCTGACTCTGAAAACCAGAAGTTTAAGCACAAAAAATTTGTGTTGTTTATGATTCTTTAACACAACCACAACAAATTTAGATCAATGTCAAGAAAACTGGTCGAGTCTGGACAAGAACTGGAACAGATCAGAACCTCAGAATCTGAGGTTGTGGTCCTCAGTCCAACAAAGCTGAAGACAGATGGATGGATGGATGGATGGATGGATGGATGGATGGACATTGGATGGATGGATGGATGGATGGATGGTTGGATGGTTGGATGGATGGATGGATGGATGGATGGATGGATGGTTGGATGGATGTTGGATGGATAGATGGATGGATGGATGGATGGATGGATGAAAGAACAGATGGATGGATGGATGGTTGGTTGGTTGGATGGATGGACATTGGATGGATGGATGGTTGGATGGATGGATGTTGGATGGATGGATGGATGGATGTTGGATGGATGGATGGACGTTGGATGGATGGATGGTTGGATGGATGGACGTTGGATGGATGGATGGATGTTGGATGAATGTATTGATGGATGGTTGCTTGATTTCTCCACATTGACTGGTTTTAACTGGGAGCTGAAGTTATTCCCAGTGTTTCTTCAGACAGAATCAGAACCGGACCAGGTTCTGGTCTGTGTGCTTGGTTCTGGTCTTGGTCTTTCTTCACTTCTAAAGGGTCAGATGTGTTGGTGCGTACGTCACATCAACGCTCCTTCCTCTGAAAGTCATTTTCTGAGGCGACACTCAGCATCAAACAGTAAAATCCCATCTGAGTGAAACCAAACATTTGTTTTTAAACTGTGATTTAAAAATGACTTGAAACACAATGAGACGAGGAGAAAAACCCTGATTTGTGACCACGCTCCAGAGACACGCTGCAGTCGTAACGGTTTACATCGAAGCAGAGAAGAACTTTATGGAAACAGAACAGCTGCGGTGCTGAAGACATGAAAAATTCAGGCATTGATGCAAAGTTACCATGAGCTGCAGCCACAAAACATTAAGGAGACAAAGTTTATCTTTAAAGTCTCATTTTCCCTCCTGTTCGCTGCCATTTGGTCTCCAAACAAAAAATATTACCAACTGTTGGCAAAGCATCAGTCCAGATGTGCTTTACACATAAAACGCACCAATTGTGTAATTTAAATTAGGCTTTTCCCACAATTTCTTGCAAACGATCCTCGGACGTCTAAGAAATCCTAGGTGAGAAGGTAATGTTCATAAATTAGTTTATGATCTTTACAGGATTTTATTTTGAAAAAATCTGCAGTATGTTGTAATAAAAGTCAGTAAAATGTCCAGGAGATCTCAAAGAACTGTTCTGGAATGTTCCTCCATTTGTCTCATCGAACACACAGGACTATTTCAAACCACTTCCTGTATGTTGGCCTGAAAATAGCCTCTGAGTGTTTCTAGTCGCCTCGATGGAACTGTAGGAAGTTTCCGCCCCGATCCACCGGATGACGCCGCGTTGTTCTGGACGGCCCAATCAGGAAATCCCTCCGTGATTAACGGGTTCTTCCTGAAACTATCAGGCAGCGTTTCTGGACCTGAACCTGGATCTGCTTTTTTATTTCCCACGTCTTTGTTTACTCAACAACCTACTGATTCAGAAAAAAGCCTCAAAGGGTGGCGCCTCACTGGGCTGTGACCCTTTGAGGCAGCACAGTGGTTCAGTGGTTAGCACCGCTGTCTCACAGCAAGGATTAGATGTTAACTGAAAAAAAGCCTAAAATATAATCCCTCTTAATAAGGACAAYGGGTCTAAAATCATCTGGATCATAAAAACCAAACCTGAACTGTAGAAACCACACCTGGACCATAGAAATTACACCTGGACCATAGAAACCACACCTGAACAATAGAAACCACACCCTGGACCATAGAAACAAAACCTGAACTATAGAAACCACACCCTGGACCATAGAAACAAAACCTGAACTATAGAAACCACACCCTGGACCATAGAAACAAAACTTGAACTATAGAAACCACACCTGGACCATAGAAATTACACCTGGACCATAGAAACCATACCTGGACCATAGAAATTACACCTGGACCATAGAAACAAAACCTGAACAATAGAAACCACACCCTGGACCATAGAAACAAAACCTGAACAATAGAAACCACACCCTGGACCATATAAACAAAACCTGAACAATAGAAACCACACCCTGGACCATAGAAACAAAACCTGAACAATAGAAACCACACCTGGACCATAGAAATTACACCTGGACCATAGAAACCACATCTGAACCATAGAAACCACATCTGAACCATAGAAATTACACCTGAACCATAGAAACCACATCTGAACCATAGAAATTACACCTGGGCCATAGAAACCACATCTGAACCATAGAAATTACACCTGGACCATAGAAACCAAACCTGAACAATAGAAACCACACCCTGGACCATAGAAACAAAACCTGAACAATAGAAACCACACCCTGGACCATAGAAACAAAACCTGAACAATAGAAACCACATCCTGGACCATAGAAACAAAACCTGAACAATAGAAACCACACCCTGGACCATAGAAACAAAACCTGAACAATTGAAACCACACCCTGGACCATAGAAACAAAACCTGAACAATAGAAACCACACCCTGGACCATAGAAACAAAACCTGAACAATAGAAACCACACCTGGACCACAGAAATTACACCTGGACCGTAGAAACCAAACCTGAACCACAAAACCAAACCTGAACAATAGAAACCACTCCCTGGACCATAGGAACCAAACCTGGATCATTGAAACCAAACTTGGACCATAGAAACCAAACCTGAACCACAGAAACCAAACCTGAACAATAGAAACCACTCCCTGGACCACAGGAACCAAACCTGGATCATTGCAACCAAACTTGGACCATTTAAATCAAACCTGAACCATAGAACCCAAACCTGGACTTGCTCAGGATGGGAGAATAAATAAGCGTAAATGTGTGGAATAGTTTCAGATCCTGGTTTCTACTGTCAATCCATGTGGATCAGAATGAACATAATGAGGCGCAGAGAGACTAATGAAAGCAGGGAACTGAAATTTCCACTCCACTAGAACAGTAAGTACTTTAATTACCTTCCTAATTACCCCGGTGAGTCAGTCCCCAGGCTTTGGGGCTAAAATCCCTCTGACATTTGCCTTTAATGCCAGACTTAATAATAAGAAATATCACATACTGCTGATGGATCAATACAGTTTGCAAGAACGAGACCTTTAGAAAGTTCAAAACTCTTAAACAGATGTGGAAATACCTTTGAAATTAAACATCTTTTAATACAACAAAGAAAGATCAGCAGAGGCTTTTGTTTCATCACTGCCAAGAAAACAGCTGGAGTTTGGCTGCCTTTTTGTAACAAAACTATTATTTTATGACCTCGTTTTGTAAACACGAGGTCTGCTGTGGTCTCCAGTGTAATTTAATTACAAAGTCACATCTGTTTAGTTATTTATAAAGCTGTGCCTTAACATGAGAATGGTTTTCACTTAAGTGTAGCTCAGTGAAGTCCAACATCAGCGGGGTCTCTGTGGACAGAGGTGGTCTTATCAATCTAAACACGGATACCATCGACGTCACCATGAGAATCAGATCGGATCGATATCAGCGTTAGCTGGTTGGGCTGTTCAAACAAAGAAATTCAGGAAAATGTCACCATTTTCACCAGGAGGAACTCAAACCATTGTGCTATGGTTCTTGTGACTCCCAACATGGAAGGGGTCTTTTTGGTAATTTTTCCCAAACTAAGACTTTAGGCTAACAGCTGGATTCAAGTGATTGGGCGAGCCGAATTTGACCAGAAAAAAGTGCAACTTATATTTTATGGGAGGTAAAAGAATCAGAACAGAACAGAACATTTTCACCCTGGTTCTGGTTTTACACTAGCKGTGGCGCTAATTCAAAATTTAGTTACGCAATTTTGAAAGCGCTAGCCAATTTATTTAGGTCCACAAATTTAAAAGCACATTTGCTCAATTAAACTTAGCGGAAGCTAAAAAATACAGCACGTTTGTCTCCATTTACCAGAAAACATTCAGGTATGCGACAAGTCAGTACTTTACTGCCATCTAGTGGAAACATTACTTTTTTTGACAAATTGGCACATGTCATCGCAGTTTGGGGAGGTGATTAGTTGAAACAGACTTTTAAGTCATGTGTTAAAATAAAAAAAACGTTGTGGATTGCTAGTTCTGCTGTTTCTTGGTCATTTTTTATGCTTATGGCAGGGCTTCAGTAAGAAAACATGCAGATAAATTAGTAAATTTAAACTGTTTATTGTAAAACTGAAGCAATGCATTCTGGATAGGCTAAAGGACAAAGTACAGAAAACTCGTTCTTTTCAAAATAAGAGCGTGAATTTAAACTGTTCCGTGTTTCTTTCTTTACTATTATTTATTTATTTAWTATTTATTGCCACAGTGTTCCTTGGAGAGGAGGTACAAACTGCATAGCTGAGCGTGGTTCTGCAGATCAGAACCGCAGGTGGATTGTTGACGTAGCTCCAACTGCTTCCTGCCACGCAAAGAATTGTGGGAACTGTCTCTACTAAATAAAAACCGTCACCAAGAAAGACAGTAAGTCAGAGTATGAAGCTCTGTGAATGCAAAATTGTTTGAGTGGTTGTTGTTTTCACATGGTGGAGCCTTATTGTGTTAAGAAATGACGGCTTTCCCCTCTAATGTTCAAGATAATAATGAAGTTTTAATGAATTATGTGGCTATAAAAATAGTGAGTTTAGACGGTTCTTTCCCTTTACCTTAGATGAAATTGACGATTGAATGTAAAACATTATTT